GGGTGGGAGGATGTTGCATGGTTGTTTTTAGAACGGTAAAATGATGGAACGCTGAGGGATGAGGGAAATAAACCAATTTGGTCAGGGTTGAAGATCACAGAATCTTCTATTAATCCCTGAAAGCTAATGGTGATGTCTGGCAGGAGTGAGTGGGAGGATGTAAAACTCCAGCTTTGTCTTCCAGTCCTGAGATGCGCAGTGTCCCTGTACACCCGCACCTTGTTGCTGGCAAGGCATGATGTGAGGCTTTGTTAGATGAGTAATTTGTGATTTATAAAACCTTTGCTGCAAGACTAGATTGCATTCTACCTGTGCTGGAAATAAAGGCCTCTGTCAGCTTTGCTGAGGTTATGGCGTGAGGCGGGCTGGAAGTAAGAAGATTTGTGCTCTCCTTGAGGTAATGCAGGAATCATCCAAAAGCCAGCCTGGCTATTGATCATTAACTATCGAGTGCATTATTGCATTTTTTTAACCCTATGTTGAGAAGATGTGCAAGGCACATTGAAGGTAATATCAGATATTCCAGTTCCTGCAGTTAATTGCAGGAGTCATTGTGATGTGAAGGAGAGGAAACAAGCCCTTATCATTACCCCTTCTGGAGGTACACCTGGGGCTGTGGCAGGGCTGGGGGTGAAGTAGCCACACAATGAGCTTTGCAGGGTTATGGAAGTCTTACTTTGCATTATTTTGCATTGTTCTCCCCCTTTACTGCTTCCCAAAATTCATCTTATTATTCCTCCCACTTTGTTCCAGGTGGTTTGCCTCCCTTCAGAGCAGATGTAACTATTAATTTGTGGGTGATTAAGCGGTTTAGAATATAATTTATAACACATTTTTGGTTCTCTGCAGATGAATGGTCCTCTCTAGCATATGCCTGTATCAGACATTATTGTTGAGATCTTTCTTGTTCTGTTTAGAAAACACATTCTGACTTTTTCTTGGGAAATTGAGGATTGTTTCAAGTGCAGTACAGTGGGAGTTTCCATATGATATGAGACCATTGGAATTGCTTAGTCTGTCTCCAGTGGTAACCAGTATCAGATTCAGAGAAAGACAATGGCAATGTTAATAATACATTTGACCAACCTCACGGTGCTGTGTGTGTGCTGAAGGCAAATTCCTTCCTAACGCTTGCAGTGATTTGCTCCTCCCCTGGAGCACAGTAATTGCATTAATTTTATCTCGTGAATATGTAAACATGCTGTTGAATTTCATAGGAGGAGGAAACTGTTCTGTGAACTTCCAAATAATCTTGGAAATGCTTTGAGGTGGATAGACCTCTCAGTTAAAAAATAACTGCTTAAAAAGCATGCAGAAAGTATACTCTAAGTGTTGTTTTTAAAGCAACTGTCATGCAACACTGCTTGGTGTCTGCATAGCTCTATAGTTGTCTCTCCTAATGCTTTAATGCTTTCTTTGTATCTTTTTTGCTGGGAGATGCAGTGTAAGCATCGCATTCTGTTATTGCCTTTAGAACAAGGGCAGAACGAGGGATGCATGGAGGGTTCCGTTCTCAGATGATCAATCCGTGTAGGTTGGTGATGACCAAAAGTTGCTGCCATCTGCTTGGTGGGCTGCATAATGAGTTTCTGAACCTCATCTTTTTCCAGTGATGTCAGACTGTATCAGAGAAAAGCATTTTTGTGGGCGTCTAATTAACCTCCTTGCTATCTGCTGCTGAGGAGAATTAACTCTTTTTGCCAGCCAGGCTTGAGGTGCCTTCTTGACCTTGTGTTATTTCCTGCTCTTTTCGAGGCTTTACCAGCACACTTCTGTTTTGTGTGAGGATATCCTCCGTCCTTGAAAGCATGTAAGCACAGGCCTGACTTTGTTTGCAGCCTAGGTTTCAGTGGGCCTCTACACACAGCTAAATGCACGCTCAGGTTCTTTGCTTCTTCACAGATGTAGCACTCAGCACTGTGCAGAATGAAGCCTGATGATTGCAATGCTGCCCACTGCCCCATTCGGGGCCCCTGTTGCACGCTCACAGGTGGGTGCCCTGGGCTGTGGGGTGGGCGTGCAACTTCTGCACCTCTGTTCTGGCAAAGCAAGTTCCTCTGGGAAACGTGGCGGTGGTGGAGGCTGCAATTAGCTTTCCGGATCAGGACTTTCTTCAGGAAGTCTGAGGGGGTTAGAAATATGCAGCAGGAAATGGTGTCACCAATCTGCGTCTGCCTTCTGGGAAGCCGGTGGTGGCAGCGAGGCAGCAGGGAGCTGTGTGAGTGAAGCTGTTCCCACAAGCTGCCCTCCTTCCAAATCCTTCAGTACCCTCCTAACGCAGCGATTACGACCGGCTGAGTTCTAGTTCACATTCTGCAGCTGCAAGATTGAAATGGATTTGCGTTGCGTCCTCTTAATCCCAGCTGATCGCTACCTGCCAGGATCCCAGCACTGTGCCCACAGCAGGGCTGTACCACACTGCTGCATGAGTCAGTGGGAGAGACCCTTCAGCAGGTACATACAGCCCGTGGGGGGCTGTGCTTGGCTGGGGGTTGCACCCAGGAGCAACAAGGGGCTGCTTTCTAGGTGGGCTTGTTTGTGTTCCATCCCTCACTCGGTCTGTTGCATCTGCTGAAGGCTGCCCTGCAGGGGTGTTTGCGAGGCCCTGAATGCTCTCTGCTCAGTGAGTTCTGTAAAGCATTATTTATTACTGTTATTTTTTTTTTATTATTATTATTATTGTCGAAGTGGGTCAAGTCGTTTTGGCATTTCAGGCGCCCGATTCCTGGTTCAATTGCAGGCCTCGGTCACTATGGCAACTGCAGCAAGCGTTCGTCATGGCTGTGCCTTGGGCCGGGTTCAAACTTGGGGCTGCAGCAGCAGCGGCGGTGGAGAGGGTTTTGAGGGGCTTGGGACAGAGGGCTGCAGGTTTGTGGGGCTGTGCAGAGAGCTGGTTTAGTTTTTTAGGGCACACAGAAGATGCTCAGTGAGTGGAAAGCAAATTCCGAGGCCAGTCTGCTCTCAGAGGTTCCTTTTGGCAGAGCTGGCACTGGCACAGGCAGGGCACGCCGAGCTGGGTGAGCACCCATGTGCCAGCTGCTTTGGAGCCTGGTTACTCAAACATGGCCAAAAAAATCCACTGGAGGAGCTCTGGAAGTCCTTGAGCCATCAGCAGAGCTGGCCATCTCAGCCACACGCTGCCTGGGCTAGGCGTGCTGCAGGCAGCCTTAAAGCACGCGAGGGAGAGCTGAGAATGTGTTTTTCATGTCTGTGTGAGCATAGAAATTGAGTATTAATTTATTGCAGCCCACAGGAGGCAAAGTCTGTCTCATTTATCATTTGGTTGCATTTTGTCAGGTTTCATCTGAGTTTCACGTGTGCACGATGCTTTTCTGCCCAGCTTTTGGTCTGGTTATCCCATGCTTTACTTTAGAAACAGGCAGAATTCGGTGCTCTGTCATAACTGTAATGAGCAGAGCCTTAGCTGAATGTGAACTGGTCTTTATAGAGTTGCTTGAAGTTGAACCTCAAAGTGAAACCTGTGTGTGAGCTCCCATGAGCCGAAAATGAAAAGGAGGTGGTGTGTGAGGAGCTCAGATTTTGTAGGGCTGCAGCAGAAAACGAGAATGTCTGTTCAGAGCAGTGCAGCACAGTGATACGTGATTCAGGAATGCTCGATTCAAATTCCTCTCTTGTAATTCAGGGGACCTCTCAAATCAGTTTGCGTTGAGTCGAGCATGCTGAGGCAAGATTGAGGAAATTTGCTGTAACGCCAGATAAGCAATTACACAGCATGAGCAGGAGCAATACAGCCTCAGAAACTGGAATTATTAATAAGCATAGGAATGGCAATTTGAAACCATTTCCGTCTGTGGAAGCACTTGTAATGAAGTGCAGGATGCTGTGCCCTTTGCACAGCACCTCGTGCATGTAGCTGGTGATTGTGGCTGATGGACTTAGATGCAGCTGTGTTGGGTTGTTAAAAAAATGATAATTGGTGCTTCTTAAATTTAACAGGAAAGGTAGCAGCAGGAGGGCAGAGAGAGTGCAATGCCCATTTGACTTGGATCAGCTGAAAGTCTGGAAAGAAATCTGGTACTTTTGTATGTTTTAATAAGTCAAAAAGATGGTAGTGTTGTCACTTCGTGACATACCTGAACTGCTGCAGCATAGAATAGATGTGGTGTTTGGAGGAGTCTGGCAGGAATAAAGGCATCAAAGAGAAGGAACAGCAGGGGGATCTGAGTTTTCCTGTCTTACACTGAGGTTGCTGCTCAGCTCTGTGTAGATACACAACTGGCTTTCTGCTTTAGGTGATGAGGCACTGGCGGAAGGCATGGGATGAGAAGTTCCATTCCCCTCAACCACTCATTGTTTCTGTGAATCTCTTTCCTTTCCTTCTTTTATTTTTTCAAGTCGTGAAAGCTTTTATGTTTTGGTGAACCGTTTTCATGTTAACTCTGACTGGTGTGGGGAAAGGATGGTTTGATGCAGGAAATCATGACTGCATCATCTCTGAGTGATGGCACACCCCCTTTCCTCCCCCCCCCCCCGCGGTGCCCCAGGGGGTTTGGTGAACTTTAACAGAGCATTTCCTAAAAGATAAGGTTCCTTTTTTGTGCATGGTGTTGGGAAGGAGCACTCCTGCTGAAATAAAAAAAAATAGAGAGGTGAGAGTGCTGACATCTCCCTTATTCTTGAGCACAAGTTGAGGTTTTGTTAGCTCAGTTCATCGTTTTCAAGTCTCAGAGCCTACAGGACAGAATGAGTTCATTTTCCCCTGTCTTCTCTGTGAATAGATCAGTGGAAGAGTGGGTGGAAAAACACTGACAGGCAGCTGAAGTTCCAATCGCTCTCAATGAGTGACACCTGTCTGCTGCCTAACTTTACTGGGAGAGATCAGTCCCAAGTGTGGCAGTGGGTATGTGGCTTTGGGCAGCTTTATCTGCTGTGATACTGGAGAAAACCTCTGGGTAACGCTTCACCTCAAGGGACGGTGAGGCATTTGCTTTCTGTTGGAGCAGAAGGTTGACATCTGTGCTCTGTGTTCCTGTTTGCAGTACTGCCAGTAACTCAAACCGCAGCACGCCTGCCTGCTCCCCCATCCTGCGCAAACGCTCCCGGTCCCCAACACCGCAGGACTCCCAAGGAGACACCATGGTGGAAAAAGGCTCAGACCACTCGTCAGACAAATCCCCTTCCACGCCGGAGCAGGGTGTACAGCGGAGCTGTTCCTCTCAGTCAGGCCGCAGTGGGGCCAAGAACTCCAAGGTAAGGAGCGAGCAAATAACTGCAGTCAGGATGCACACGCATCTGCTGCTCTAAGCTCCGTAATGTGGTACACTGGCTTTGTCCAGTGCCATCTTTCTTATTTACCTCTGGCTAACCCTCCTTTTTCCCCCAGCATGATTCTAAAAACTCTAACTGGAGGCCATCTGGGTAGGTCAGACCTGCCTTCTGTCATTCTTTCAATGAACTCAGTCCGTGAATTGCTGATGGCTTGGGCTGTGGCTCAAAACTGGCTTTTGTAGGCTAATCATTTTGCAGTCAGGGCCCTGTTTTCTTGGCAGGCTCTGTGATTTTGAATTAGACCTTGAAAATCAGCTGTTGCAATTGCTCTTTATCAATTAGATCACAAAGGGTCATGGAACACATGAAGATTCCTCTGTGCAGACAGCTTGTAAAAAGCCCACGCATCTCTCCAGTCCTGGCCAAGCCATGTTGAGATGAGGCTCAGACTGCACAGAATCAGTTTGCTAGTCTTCTGCACTGTCTCTCTTAATGGTACAATATTACAGGTGTCTGACAAACTCCATGGAAATCTTGGACAGGTGATACTTTTCCTCAGGAAGGGCTCTGCCTTTTGACAGTACTGGAACCAGTATCAGCCTTGTCTGTACTGGAAGGGTTTCAGGTGTAGGGACTCCTGATTTTCTGTGAGCAGTGGCATTTGGTGAAGCAGATGAGGGCTGTGGGAACCAAGTGTAACCTTTGATAATAACTCTAACGTCAGCGGTGTAGGAGCTGCCAGGAGCATTTGCATTTTACTCATTTCACAAAGTGAAATATTTCACCTTGAACCACTCCGCAGTGTCACAGATGACTGTATGGCATAAATGTTGGCTTGTGGGAAATGAGCTGTTGGGTCCTTTGCCTAGCTTATTGCAGGATTGTGTCACATGCATAGATAGTCTTCATCTTGGTATTCACCATCAGCAGAAGAAACAGGATCCACTGGCCCACCCTCCCTGGGCTGAATTGCTCTCTCACCTCTAAGGAAGGGAGGGTGTGTGTTGAAAAGATGGGATGAAGAGATTTTTTGGGACGATTCATTTGAGGCTAGGCAATTCTGGGGCTGCCTTTAAGGTTAGGCTTGCTTCCTGTGTGCCTAGTAACCCTCAGCCACTACCCCAGGGTGGAGGAAGATGCCTGTGGGCATGATGGTACTGTCAGGCCTATGTGCATGGGCAGTCTGTCCCCAGAAGGAAGCCATGCAGGTGGGAGGAGGCAGGATGCTCACTGTGTTCATTGCCACGCTGGGGGTCAGTCTGTCAGGGCAATTGCATCCTCAGCAAAGGGTTTTTCTGAGATGAGTTGTGTTGCCCTGGCTGTGATGTGCTGTTTCAAGGCCATGGGAATGTGATTCTTAACAAAGCAGTGACTAGTGAAGCTTAATAGTATAGCTTAATAATAATTCATGGTGCTTTTAACAAGGAAAGGAAGTGGAAGTGGGAGGGATGTTGATGCTGTCCGTTGGGTTTGTGGGTTTTCCTTCTCTTGAATCGTGAGGTAATTTTTCTTCTTTCCTTAATTTCTCTCTTTTCATTCCTGCATGCTTTCTCTCCGATTAAGTCACACAAGCGCCTCTCCAAAGTAAGCCTTCTTTTTTCTCTCCTGTGCCCCACTGTAGAATTGTCTCATCCTGCAGAAACCCACCCCGTGGTACTGAGCAGTGACTCCAGTAAGGCATTCTCCTGGCGTGGCTGTGAGAATGTCAGCAAGAGCTCACCCCGATGCCTGTAGCTGAGAAGCTGGTTTCACTTATATCACTGGGATCTCATTAATATTTGCTCACGTGGTGTGAAAACTGGCCAGTTCCCCACACTCCTTCAATTACTTCCAAGTAATTTTAGGCTTTGTTTTAAGATTTGGTTTCCCTCTCCCTTAAAATGTATTGTTGTCTTTGCAGGGAGAGATCCTCTGGCTTCGGTAGGCTGAACTGTACCATAATCCATCCTCTTTCCTCTTTTCTTTATGCCTTTTGGAAACAGGAGTTGATCTCCCTAACTTAATTGTTTGTTTTTTTTTGGTTTTTTTTTTTTTAATGATGAAGAGTTGATTTGAGGCCATTGATCTCAGTTTACTGACCTTGCACGTTTTTCTGTGTGATGTAAATATTAAAGATCAGTGATTTCAAATGAACCCAGCTTAAACCTGGTAGAACAGACTCGTCCCAAATGAATTGTGAGAATTCATGGGCTCGCTCTGAAAGGTGACAAGTAGAAAATCCCTCTGTGGGTGCTTGGATTGGAGATAAGCTCATCTGAGATGTGATCTCAAATCTCACTGCTACCCTCAGAAGAGTGTAAAAATCAGAAACGCTGTTGGGATGCTTATTGGACAAAGTGTCAGGCTGTTGGCATTTCTACGTGTGAATGCAAGTGAAGTTAAAATCAGAATGGCTTGGATGGCTTCATAATCTGCCAAATCAGTGTCTTGGCTTTTCCCCAGCTGATACCTTGGATTCAATTCTAGGCAAGCTCCTACTAAGCAGTGAAGTTTACAGTACTGTTTTACTGTTTTTCCTTGGTCAGAATGCCCCTTGTAGCCAGCCCTGTCTTGCATGATTGCTGGTGGCTGCTGGGAACTTCATGTCTTTCTTTAGACAGGTTGTCTTTTGCACGGTGACCGTAGCTTGGGTGCTACTAAAGAGGATTGTGGGCCTAAGATCTGAGGTGAGATGTGACAGCAGTTCTATGGAAGACACAGGTGTGGAGTGGCAGAGCCCTGCAGGGTTTGCTGGTGAGTAGAGGCACGTGGGCAGGCTGGGCTGGGCTGGAGGTGCTCAGCCAAGCAGAGGAGAGGTGGGAAGAGCCTTGGTAGGGAGTGATCCGTGCAGTGTGTTTGTATTGCTGCCGTGATAAGCTTGCAGAGAGAAAAAATGCTGTATAACAGCTAGAGAAACAAAAGGAAGATGGAGCCGAGGTGAGTGTGGGTCTCCATGGAAAGCAGATGCAGAGAAGGGGGTCCTGGGCTCTGCCAGCCTGGATCAAAGCTCCTGCCCTGACCCCCCCGCCCCAGCCAGAATCTCACCCCATGCTCCACAAAACAGCTCTTTTTGGTATGAGAGAATCAGGTGCAGCGAGCTCCCTGTCTCTCCCCACATGACAAAGATAGCTGTTTAAGATGGGGAAAGGCTGGGAACAAAGAAGGGAAGGACACACGTGGTAAAATCTCCTTTCTCAGTCTCTTCTCTCCCCACCCCTCTTCTGCAAGAAGAAGAACAGTTTGATTTTTCCAACCTGTCTCGCTGATGAAATGAAACAGCTTGAGCCCATGAGTTTGATGCTGTGTTTATACAACCGCTGACAGCTCTGCTTGAAGTCCTTTGCCCTCTTTTGTCTGTTGCGCTGATCGTCGTGCTGCAGTGCTGCCATCAGAGGGAGCGCTTCACCAGGAGTTTTTAAGCACTGGATTGCATCTGTAAGGCCTTTCCTGAAGCTGGTTTCCCTTGCCACCCACCACCGTGGCATGGACCAGATGATTTGTAAGCCTGTCTCAGCCTTAGGCAAACACTGGTGCTCCTGAATCAGCTTTCTGGGCTCAAGGAATGAAGGGATTCTGCTTGCTGCCAGCAGTGGGATAATGTATTTTTAACTCTTTTGCTCTTGTACAAAGAAAAAAAGTGATTTCATCTCTGTTGCAGATCTTTCAATATTCTTACTGCCTATACTTCATAGCAACGCAGACTCAGAAGACTGTAGAGCCATTTAGATGGGGAGGGGGTCTCTGAAGGTCTCTGGTCCAAAATCCTGTTCAAAATGGGGTTGATTTGGTTAGACTGAGTTGCCCAGAGACATCTCCATCTAAAATGCAAAGAAATCACAGCCTTGCTGGGTCCCTGCTCCAGTGCTTAACCACTCTTGCTGTGAACAGGCTTTATCCAAGTAGAATTTCCCTACTGCAGCATATAACTGTTGCACCTTGTCCTTTTAGCATCAGTTTTGAGAAGAGTTTGGCTGTGTCTTCCCATTTGATCCTCCTGCTGGGTGGCACAATCCTCCTGTAGGTATTCTGCTCATTTTGAACAGGGGTGAGAAGTCTGAGAATAAAGTGCATCAATTTATTTGAGATGGAGGGATACAGAAGAGAGGTGAATAGTGTAGATCTGGAGGTATGCAGATCAGGAGGGGAAGGGCTGTGGTTCTGTGCCCTCACCTTGTCTCTGTGCCCCTATTTCCCTGGTTATAAAACGGACTTAGTGATGTATCTATAGCCCATGGCATGTCATTCACTTGGCAGAATGTTTCTGTTCCTCTGGAAGCAGAAGTATGTAGGAGGGATTGTGATCCTGCTCCCAGTAGTGCTAAAAGATGGAAACTTCTGTTGGCTTCAAGCTAGCAAGCCAAACTTCATTCATGTGATCCACCGCTTCCCATCTGCACTGTAAAGCTGTAACTTTCCAAGCAAATACAGGATTATTAACCTATGAAGATTCAGGGGCAGCCTTACAGTCGTTAGAAGCTCATAAATCCCCCATTTTTCTCAACTTCTCCAAAGTTCTTCCTGATTACAGCCACCATGTCACTCTGCTGTCAGCTCCCACAGCATCACCTCTGCAAACCAGTGACATCTTTTCCACTTTTGTGTGCAGCTCCCTTCCTCCCTTCCTGCTTTATTTTATTTTTTCTGTTCTAATGCTTATGGTTTCTTTTTCCAGTATGACAGACTTAACCTGCTCAAAGTAAGAATATGTTTTTCCTTTTTCACCCCCCCCTCTGCTTTACTGTCTCTTGATTTTCACAGTTTGCAGCCCTCTACATTCTGACACTCAGTGATAACACCTTTTTTCTTTTTAAAGTTGTATGCAGTTGAAGTTGGATTTAAGAAGTCTGATTATCACAGAGCCTTAGTTTTGTTCTTCTTTGGACTCTCTGTAGTCTGTTACGTGTAAAATGTAGATGACAGGAAGAAGGAACCTCCTCACATTTAGAAAACTTGAAGCAAAAGATGAGGCTTGGGTATCCATCTAAAGGTGTGGAAGAGGGAAGATGCTGCAGAGGAGCCATCATTGGGGATGGCTTTTCCTTGTCCCCCTGAAGAGAAGGACAACTTCAGCTGGACAGTTCATGAATGGAGAGTATGGCCAAGTGTGGGGAAGTGTAGCAAGCAAGAGAAGATTCCTCTGGTTAGTTACTGAGCCTTAGAGTGCATTCAGTTCTTTAGCTCATATCCTTTCCCCTGTGTTTGGGGAAAAGCCTTAGGAGTGTTGCTCTTTCAAGCATCAAATTGTTGTGGTTTGTTTTGTGACATATTCCATGTTACTGTGGGGATTTTCATTGCAGACCAGTGCAGTAAACAGGATGATTTCCCAACTGGCCAACGTGCCCGAGGTGGCAAGCAGTCCTTGGGAAGGGTTGGCTGCCAGCTGGGTGTGGGATCTGGGTGCTGGGGAGTTAACTGGGTGCAGAGGTGTACAGGGAGCACAGGAAACTGAGCAGGGAGGAGAGCAGCGTAGGCAAAGCATGTCTTCATAGTGATCTCTGGTCCAATCTGTTCCCATTAACACTCTGCACTTACTTTCTTATGGTAAAACATGATGAATGTCATTGGTCCTGCTGTGGGCTGTCCCAGCACAGCTGATTTCTGTGTTTCTGGCTCTTAGCTCTCTGAGTGAAACTTTCCCAAACTCCCTTAAAAGTCTGAGATGAGTTTGTTTGCCTCTGTATTCTAGCCTGGATGGGGTATCAAACTGAAAAATACTCCCAGTCCGAAGTCAGAAGCGAGATGTCTTCAAAGAAAGAAGTGCAGTAAGACACTGCTTCTGTCTTTGTCCATTAAGCAGAACTCGGCCGGGTGCCATGCAGATGTGTGGCTGTGGGTTGGAGGAAGGGACAGGCGCAGCTGTGGGGCTGCTGGCACTGCAGTGCTGATGCTGTGCCCCATGGCTCAGCACTGCTAATGGTGTAAGGCTGTGGTGCCCCATGCTTTGCTGTTCTGGAGTAAATCTGCCCCAGCTGTGGGGATGCTTCTGCTCTGTGTCCTGACATTGGAAAGCCAGCATTGCTGGTTTCTTCCTCCCTCTGTGCTGAAAAATCACACTTCTGGCTGTAAATGGCCAAGAGTGACTTTCCAAGCCAAGTGAGCCTTTTCAGATGCTTCAGTGTGACTTGTGATCTGTCCTGAAGCCATCTGAAATGCCATAAGGGTAAAAATGTACACGTGCAGATGATGCAAAACACTACGTGCTAAAATTTTGCAAATAAGTCTCTTTTTTTGTTGTTCAGCTTTTCTTTTGCTTTCCTTCAGCAGTGTTCTTGTCTCTGTATGTGTCTCCCTTTTAAAATTTAAAATACTACTGAAAGTGTTGCCTGATGGCTACTGTGAGTCAAATGGTCTCCCTGCATTCCAAGAATTCTCCAAGGGTTGTTGTTTGCAGAGGGTCCGTTCAAATCAATGTGATTTTCCCAACCTAGGCTGCAGGCCTGGAAAATAAAGCCTTGAACAGAGACGTGTGGCAGTGATTATGATGAGCTCCTCTGTTGCTAGTGGGCGCTGCTGTTCTGCAAAAGAGCTTGCAGCATGTGTGCAGGTTTGTGTGCGTGTGCGTGCGTGTGGACATGCACACATTAGCCTGAACTGTTTCCTATTATAGATTCTTGCTCCTGGATTTGATCTTTGTTTCTGTAACTGGAAATAGCTGTGTTAGACCATGCTGTGAAATTCATTGAAATCTCCTGTTTAATCTCACTTTCACACTTTGCTTATTACGCAAACCAGATTGGATCTACTTTTCTCTGTCCGTCTTTCTTTTTGATCCTAAGATCTCTGTGCTAACTAATGCTTCTCTTTTATTTTGTCCTTACAGAAAAGCCAGAGTTGGTATAATGTAAGTACTCCTGTTTCTCTTGTCCCTGGGTGAAAGTGGGCTGGGTGCCTGGGTGGGGGGGAAGGTGCAAAGGGGCTTTGCAGTGGCAATGGGGCATACTGACCATTTCTGAAAAGATGGAAATGGCTCAGAACTGGCAAAGGACACCTGACATCCTGAGGGAAAGGGTGCCAGAGACAAGGAGCAAAAGCTTCGTCCTTCCAGTCACTCTTCTGATGTTCTCTACATCCTGTACTTTCCTGTTCCCTATCGAAGTTGGTCTCGATGTGGTGACAAGCAGAGCTGCCACTGTGCAAACCCTTTGCATCTCAGGGTGGAGCGGGGCAAGAGAGGAATTACCTTCTGTTGATCTCACAGAAAAGCAAAGATGGTTTATCTTTTGCTTCTGCCTCAGTCTTATTTTTGTTCTGCGAGCATGAGTAGCAGTGTTGTAGGCACACAGCTGGTGGTTTGCACATTCCCATAGTCGGTCACCTTTGCATGGTTGAACCCTACCCTCAGGCTCTTTAGGGAAGCTATCAGCAGCTCAGTGCCTTTGCAGCAAAATGCAGCAGCCACTCCACGTTCTGCAGCATCCCCACCTTCCTGCAGCATGAGACAGGACAAGTAGGGCTTTTAGCTGCTCTGACGTGCTCAGATCTGACACGGGCATGAGGGGCAAACTTCAAACAACCAGCACCAGGATTTTTCACCTTCTCTGCCTTGTCTGAAAGTCCTTTGCGTGGCTGGTTAGGTACCATGCTGTGGAGTTGTGGCATCTTGTGTCCTGTTTGGGGAGCACTATGGCAGGAGGCTGAGGTCTTGTCAGCATTAACAGCAGCTCTGGTTTGTCTGAGATTGTGGGTCTGAGTCACTGGACAGACACGTCAGAGAGGGGTTCCTGATGGAGCATGCTCTTTGCTACCAGTGAAAGAGAAGGTGCTTTTTTGTTTTTCTCTTCTTTTTGCACCTTACCCCTTTTGCTTCAGTAATAACTAAGTGATAAGTCTGCTATGTCTTTGGGGTGAAATCCTATTTGCTGATTATTCCAAGTGTTAAATCTGGTTTGATGTGGGAATTCTTTGTGCTCCTGGTAGGAGGTGGGCAGGCCTCCCTCAAAAAGAGAAGGAAATTTAGCAGGGAGGGCTGCAGTGGGGAGAGAGAGATGTGTGAACAGAGAACAGCTGTCCTCTTGGCAGCAACACCACTGCAAACTCCTTTTGCTGGAAAGAAGAGCCAAGTGGATAATCAGATTGCAAGGTAGAGAGCAGCACAGACGAGCAAGAATTGACCTCAGAAACAGATAGTAGCATGGAGACAATAGCATGAAGAGAGGAGGATAAACACAGGAGAGCAGGTTGGCAGAGAATTGGCAGCTGGGGGCACGTAGGCAGCCTAGCCAGGCACATGGAGGCCATGGCCATGGCTCAAGGTGACTTCTGCTGTTGCACAAGAGCTGAGTCAGGCTGTAGCTGCTGAGATGCACACCCTGCTGCACGATGCTTTGCTGTGGTCTGCTTCTGTGGGTCTCTCGTGTTTCTGTGTCCTCTCTATCTTATCTTTCTGTTCTCTTGTTTTTCCTCCATATATTTTCAGCATGAGAGACAGTACATCCGGAGAGTAAGCACTGGCTGCATATTTTGTGGTTCGCCCCGCAATTATTTTCCTTTAGAAAACAAAACATGTTCTAGTGAGTAGAGACGTTCTGGCCAGATAAAAGCAGCAATGTGGAGACGCAGATGGGCTGCAAACTCCAGGAAGGCATTAATTCCTATTGGCAGTATTAATATTAAAAATTTGCTAATGTTTCTCCTCGATAGAGTTTCTTTTCTTTGCCAGCTCCTTCCCAGCAGGATTTTTCTGGCACTTGGACCAGTCTGATTCCTCTGTTTATTTTCCATGCTGAGAGCAGCTCTAGAAGTGAACCTGTAGAAGCAACCCCATTATGAAGCCTTGACGTTTCATTTATCTCACTTGTCCTTGCTTTCATTGTACAAGAAGTTCTCTGTGCTTGCAGCAAACACTCTGCCTTCCGTGTGGCACTTTGGTGGCCCTGGGTGCCAGACCAAAGGTACAATTCCTGCCTCAAAGAGCACACGGCCCTCAGAGCCCCCCAGAGCATCACTGGTCAGAATGCCAGCTTCATTTTTTGCTGCTTTTAACTGGTCTTTTTGTCTTTGTAGCACCATGCCCCTGTTTGCCAATTGGAAGCTTTCCTTTTCTCTCCCCCAGATTCCTTTTTTTCTACGTTTTCCTTAATATGTTACCAACTTTTCTGCCCTTGTGTGTTCTCCTCTTGATCCTAGCAGTGCTTTTTGGGATTGGCATCCCTACCAGACTGACAAGTGGGAGAAAGGGAGTGAACCAAGCTCATGGGTTGAATGTGGCAACAGACCTGTGCTCTTGGTGCTTTCTCTTCTTTTTGCTCTCCAGAGACAAGTACAAGCTGGTCAGGTTCACTGTGAGATTTTAGAAAAGGAACACCAGAATGAATGCACTCAACTTCCATGGGTTTGCTTTGTGTTTGTGCCCTTACGGTGGAAAAACAAACATCTCTGGGCTGGCTGAGCTGTAGCAAGGAAACGTCCCTGAGGTGTTTCTCATGTCTTAGGTGGGGAACGTCAGACATGGAGCCCCTGGCCTAGAAGAACTGCTTTTGTGCAGACTACAGCTCATTGGCAGTGCCTCACCCATCTGTGCTCACCCATCAGGATGCAGTTTGAGTCATCTGCGTGCCGAATTATCATTGATTGCTTTATTACTCTTAAGAGAGTTTTTTAAAATTTGTTTTTAAAGATAGAACAGAGCTCCCAAACAAGTTTTTCTCTGTAATTTTGTTTACTGAAACAGAGATGTGACTTATTCTGCAGACCCGACGTGCTTAGCAGTGGGGAGTTCACGTCCCTCTTCCCTGGTGACATGGAGGAGGAGGCTGTGCTGGCAGTGTGGGATGCAGGAGCTCCACAGGTCACCAGAAGGAATCATTCCCTCAGCAGAAGTCCTTAAAACCAGAGGCAAATCGGAGACGTTTTGATGATAAAGAAATCTCATCTCCTTTGTCCTTCTCTTGCTGGAATTCAGGGGAGGAGGAGCACTTGGGTTTCATGTCTGCCTCTCCATAGCAAAAGTTGCTTCTCTAAGTTCCCATCTCTGCTCCCAGATCTGGGGGCTGCTGTTTGCCAGGAGAGTTAGCAGAGAACATTCCCAGAAAAGAGCATGAGATGACTGTGAAAGTTGAACAGTTGACACTGGGGAAGATGGAGGATTTGTATATATATGTCCATGAGGTTTGTTCGCAGTTTAATGTTTAGAACTCAAGGTCAGTCCTAGTCTGTACTCCTTTCTTTTGTGTTTATCTACTTCCAGCCCTTTCACCTGCCTACTCTTTTGCAACCAGGCTTGCATTTATGCCTTCTTACAGCTTCTCCCTATAACTGACCTGAGTCTCACCTTCTCCACCCATTGTGCAGGACCATCCCAGAGCACCGAGTGGGAAAATTACAGTGTGAAGACACTCACTGCCTCTTTTAGCTCTTCTTAAATAGTAAGTCTGAAAAGTTGTCTTTGGGAGAGCACAGTCTGCACCGAGGATTGCAGCAAGCAAGGATACAAGTGAGGGAGGCAGGAGGAATGGCAGCAGGAGAAGCAGCTGAACAGAGGGACGGGCCTCAGTGTGGTCTTGTAAAGAGCTGACCTTTCTGTGCAGTCCGTCTGTAACTACGTCAGATGATCACAGGACTGGACACAGTAAGAAATAAGCCTTTGTTGGGCTTGGTGTGCTGACTTCCCTAAAGCAGCACCCTGTTGGAGACCTTATAGATACCAGACTTAAGAGCAATTCTCAGCTGCTGGAAGGAGAAGTAAGCACTAAGGTAAGACATCAGAAAAGCCCACCCAGCAGATGGAAGCCTGAGTCTGACCAGAAACAGCGATCTTATCAGCAGGATTTAGTGCAGAAATCCAGGCCTGATGGTGAGAGACTTAGTGAGGTGCTGTCGGTCAGTGCTGTCAGCTTCTGGGTTCCATAACCATGTGTCCAGCTGTTCCTGGAGCACTGCTAACTCACTGTCCTTCAGGTGTTTTTGCAGGCCATTCCCTTCAGCCTTGATATGATGTTAGGTGTGTTGGTCACTGGGCCCAGCATGGCTGCTGGTGGTGGCATTGAGATGGAATGAGTTTCTGATGCGAGCTTGTGGGGTGATAGATTCAAACTCACTTCTTAGCCACAAGCTGCCAGTGGTGGTTACTCTGAAGCTTCTCCCTGTGTTTTTCAATCACTTTTAAAAGAAAAGAAGAAGAAAAGAAGAAAAAGGCCTCAGAGAGCAGACCAGATTGAGAAGAAAAGCTGTGGGACAGGTGGTCAGTTTCCCTGCTGGCATTCATCAGCACAGCAGCCCTGCTGTCACTGGGGTTGGAACTCTCTCTCTGTGTATCCTGGCTTTTCCAGTCGTGTTTCTGTTCTGTTCCAGAAGCGATGTAAATCTTCCTGCAAATGTTAGGTGCAAATCCATCAGTCATGCAGATCAGTGAAGGTTTTCCTCTCCCCTTTTCTCCCTGCCTCATACCACCTCTCTCCTGACCCTCCTGCTTTCTGTGCCACGTGCTGTACCAAGACCATTTCTTTCTCAGTTCTTGCGCTGTCAAACTTCCCTGTGCTGTTCCCATCCCCCAGCAGTGGCTGCTTTAGATTTCCCACGTATTTCTCAGTGTATTATCAGCAAGATGTGACCCTGGGCGCCCCGTTCTCCCCTTTCCTCCCCTAAGCCTCCTCTCCACCCTTTGCAGTGCCATCCTGTCCCGTCTCTTTCTGTTTGCAGAAGAGTTAATGTTTGCTGTCCCCACCTCCGGGTTAGCTCATCCGATCGCTGGTGCCATTCAGATCTGGCACGGGGATGGTGGCTGTGTAATTTGAGGGGTTTGCTAGAAGTAATCCCATAAATTGTTTGCAGCAAGAAGGGACATCCAGTACAACAAAGCAGATAGCTCATGGTTGTCTGCAGTGCTGATATCTCATCCTCTTTAGGCTGCAGAAATCACTTTGCTCTCTCTGTGTCTTGGGGTGACTGATGGATGTGCCTTTCTAATGGTGACAGGCCCCAGTAGTGTTTCTGTGGTGCACCCAAGCAGCTTGGTGCTTCTCCCTGTCCGTGGGCAGCCTGCACTTGCTGGCCCTGCAGTGAAACTGTGGCTTTCCAGTGGTTTGTTAGTTTGCTTGGAGACAGCTGTGTGCACAGGTTATTTGGAAGAATGAGGCTATTTCTTCATTATTCTTGTGCCTTGTTTCCACAGACAGCGTTGCAGTTGAGCAGTGCTGATGTGGACTTTTGTGTTTCTGTGCCTGAGTAAAGAGATGGACAGGGTGGAGATGAGGGGCAGAGCGATACAGGGAGCCGTGCTCCAGCAGTCCTTCAAAGACCTGCAGGGAGTTCATTGCTGGTGCCCGAAGGAGCTCTTGCTCTTCATTCCCAAAGTGACCCAACTGATGAAGCGGCACCAAACCAGACCCATGCTTTTGGAGGGGCTCAGAAATACGTGCAGGAGTAGCTGAGCCCTGAAGTCCTAACTGCGTGGATCTCAGATGGCTGATTTCATCATGACTATGTTCTGCAGGCTGGTCTTTCCTTACCCGGCCCCCCTCATCCCCCCACACCTCCCCCAGCACGCTCTGTCCAGCAACTTTCCATTACAGGAAACATCTGCTGGGAGGCAGGGCCGAGCCTGGGTTACTGCAGGGCATTGGCCCACAGAATTACCCAGCCACAGTAACTTAAAGCATGTGCGAGTGGTTTCGGTATCTCCACACCCGCTCCTTCCTACAGAAACCTTAGCAGAGACTGAAGCTGCTTTTCAGAGCAGAGAGGGACAGGAGAGGAGAGCCTGCGGTGGGCACTGACGAATGGATGCTTTTCTGGTTTCAAAGGAGAAAAAAAACAAAACAAACAACCAGCTGAAGTCTCGGAGCTGCTGACCGTCCCGTTTAGTCCTGGAACTGCAGCTAGATCTGTGAATGCTGGGCTGGCAGGGTGCTGGCAATTGGAACTATTTGAGTTAGCAGTGCTGGCCGTCGGGGCTGGCTCTGAGGCTGCAGACAAGGCATTGCACAGAGCTGCTCGGGCTGTCGGCATATTTACAGCCCTTCTTCAGAGGATACCCCCAGCAACAAGTTGGGAAGACTGGAAGAGAGGAGCTCAAGCATTGCCTGCCAGCACGCTTATCCTCATGAGCCTCTTTTTTGAAGTCTTCTGGAGGAGGAGTCCTCTCTCAGTTCTGCAGAGGCCACTGGGGAAGATGACCTGAATGTGAGCAGGAAAGCAGGGGAAGGCACGTCAACTCCTGCCAAGCTGCTGAATCTCTTTCGACATTGAATCTAAACAAGAAGTGGTGACAGCAGAAACAGGAAAAGCAGAGTTTGACTGAGAACACGGGGAGCTGTGCAAGTGCTGAGGGAGCACCATGGATTCCTTGCTGGAATGCGGGGCTCTCTGGCATCCCATACTGGATCAAGAACTCCCATATCTGCAGTGGGACCTGGAGGGGCTTGCTGACTTACCCCAAGAGGTTCTCTGCAATGGATCAGATGGAATTCCTGCTGTGAGTGTCTCTAAACTGAAGTGTTTGTAAACAGAAGTTCTGCTAAGCAGAAGTGTCTACAGGCTTTGGACAGGTCAGAACATCCCAGGCAGTGGGAGAGGGAGTGGAGCACCCCTCCATATGGAGCCCATACTGCTAAGTCTGGTTGCTATAATGCAATGCACCCAAAGCTCAGGGTTGATTATAGTCTTATTCCCACCTCCTTTGCACATCCTCTCTGCTGGTCCCAGGAAATCTTGGGTTTAAGCTCTTGGTGGAGCCCGTCTCTGTCCAAGGTCTTTTCCAGATGTTCAGAGTAGAAGTTTGGTGAGTGAAATCGTATTTCTCTCAATTGCTGGCTTGTAGGTTTTATTCAAAAGTAAGGCCCGCCTTTGGGCCCACAGGGCTGGAGCATGTAATTGAAGTACTAAGATAATACTGTTTCTAATTCATTGAATTGCTGTGTGGAAGTGGAAATGTTGTTTATGAGTGGGATTCTGTGCTTCTGTCTTGGCTTTGACAGCATTTGATGGTTTTGAAAAGGTAGTGCTAAGCAATCTTTGTATTTCCCCCACCCCTATGTGTGCCCTCTTTCCCCCTTCTCTCAAACAGAATCTTCTATAATCAGATTGATTTGGGGGAGCCCTCAGATGTGTGCCCACCATTCTGCATTGGGAGAGTTGTATTTTGCAGCTGAGGGGGTAGGAAAGGATTGTTGAGAGGAAAGGGAGAGTAGCCCAGGTTGCTCTGCCATCCCTATGTTTGTGGGATAAAGCATGAGAGATTCGATGAGATACACAGTGAAATTGCACCTGCCTCTGTTTAAATCAGCTCTGCCTGCAGAAGGTGTTCTGGCTATTCTGAGCTGCTGTCAGCATGTGCATGGCATTAGGAGGTGGTCTTTGGCTAGAATTGTAGGCCCAGGGACAGAGTTGCATTAAAGTTCATAAAGACCAGAGAGAAACCAGCTCTTGATTTCCCCATAGCCAGCAGCACGGCCTCCTCTGGTGCCTTCCATGAGGTCTGCAGAATAAGTGAAAAACATGGTTGAGTCCCCACACAAACCTCTTCTGCAACCACGTTCCCCCCTCTGCCAGCAGGTAGTGGTGGGTTTGCTGATGTCAGGTGAAGCACTTAATGGGGAGGGGAGAGGGAATGACTGCGTTACTCTGGAGCTGTTGGTGACATTGGTCACTCAAGCTCCTGTGTCAGGGCTGCAGCTGTACTTAAGCTCCCATTGTCTGGGGTTGCTCTGCTGTTCATGGGATTGGTAGCTAGTTGATGCATTGCAAACTGAGCATGTGTCGTCCCTTGGACAGTGTAATGATGGCAGGAAAAGAGATTTCCCTTGCAGTCACAGCTCCCATGTAGTTCTGCATTGCAGACAAAAGTATAGGCCTTCTGTGCTGCACTTACTCTTCCAAGTCAGGTTCTCCTCTTCCTCTCACTTAATGCAATGATTCCCACATCCTCCCATCTGTGTGTCTGCTGTGATGGGAGCTCCTGGCCTCATGCTTTGTAAGTGCATCTGATCCCCCTTCTCCTTATCAAGGTTTTCCTGTTTTCCCACTCCATTTCTCCATACTCATGCCTGCCCCTCTCTTTAACAGGCGCTCTGTTATTTGCAGGTATTGAGTCCGACCTACAAACAACGGAATGAAGACTTCAGGAAACTCTTCAAACATCTTCCTGACACGGAGCGCCTCATCGTAGGTAAGGACAGTCCCTTTGTGCAGTGCTCTTTTTTTGTGCAGGCCTGTGGTTTTAGGAGTAAAGCAGCACATGTACACGCAGCATTTCCCTCTCCTAAGAGGCTGCCACTGGGGAGCAAGCCTGTTGTCTCCTGTCCACAGGCAATTTCCTCTCCTCACTCTTTCCAATGGATGTCATTTGTTTGGCTCAGGGAAAGCAAAGCTGGTTGGTATCGGCTACAGTGTTGTCTCCTTATGGTTTGAGGAACATGTTCTCCTCCATAGTGCTCCCCAGGTCTCACTGTTAGTGTCTGAGCTCTTTCCTCCATTGGTCAGGGTTGTGTGTCTCAATGTGCACACTGCTGAACTTGCCTTGTTTTGATCTCCTTTGTACATCTCCAGTGCTCCCTACTCACACACCACTGCCTTCCCTAAATACATTTAGGCTTTGGTCCTGCAGTCGATTAGTGACTGTCCACTGTATTGCATCTGTTCTTTTATCTTATGTAACTGATGATCTCATATCATGTCTCATACTGCTCAAATATGCACATACTAGCAGAGGACTAGAAATTGTTTAGGAGGCTTAAACTGGGAGAGAAACAAGCAAGGACACTAGAAGGTAAGAAGGAAAACCCAAAAATCTAGAAATACTTCATAAAATGCTACCAAATGGCCAGCTAATGGGGCAAGGTAATGTGTCATTAAGAGAGATTGTCTGCAGCATGCTGCAATTGCAACCCAGTGGACAGAGCAGCAGCTGTGGTCCAGCTCCTTCTAGCTTTGCATTGACTTTGTGCAGAATTATGTTGAGTAACTTCCTTTGGTGCTGCTGCTTATCCTCACGTTTAGGCTGTCCTGCCTCCTCATCTCGATGCTCCTTAATTATCATCTGTTGTTCACCTGCAGATTACTCATGTGCGCTACAAAGAGACATTCTCCTGCAGGGCCGCCTCTACCTCTCTGAAAACTGGATCTGCTTTTACAGCAACATCTTCCGCTGGGAGACGCTGGTAAGGCTCTCTGACTGGCAGACTGAGCATGTGTTTTATGTCAGTATATTTGCTGACAACTTTAAAAGCACTCTTTCCATCGTCCTTCTCACCAGTGTCTCTCATTACCTGCTTTTCTTTTTCTGCCTTCCCCTTTCTGCATGGCTCTGACTGTAGCTGACAGTTCGCTTGAAGGATATCTGCTCGATGACCAAGGAAAAAACAGCACGGCTCATTCCTAATGCCATCCAAGTTTGCACTGATACTGAAAAGGTACCTCCTGGAAGCCTCCACCTCTGGGGCCACAATTTCTGGGTGTCACGGGCAGGGGAGTGGAGTTAGCACCACCTCCATGGGAGTTTTCTAAATGGACTGCTGGTGGTTCATGGGGTGTGGGAGAAAGCACGAATGGAAAAGGGCTGGGTGCAGAGCTTCTGCAGACCTTGGGCTTCAGCTGAGTCTGGAATTCACGTATGTAGCTCCTACGTGGAGTGTCGTGGAAGTAGAGCTGGGTTATACAGTATTCCTTAGCAGGTGGAGCTCTTTCTGTGCTCACACCAGCTCTGTTGGTCGAGAGGCACTCAGCCATGCAGGCTCTGTGGACTTCTGTCTGTGCCCAAGAACTGAACGGCAGTGCTGTACAGTTTGCTCAGCCCTTCTGTGCACTGTCTCTGAGAAGTGATCCAAAGAGGTGGGTTTTTTTTTTTTTTTCATCTGGGCCTTTTCTGATTTTTCTTTCCATCTCTTCCCATTCAGCACTTTTTTACTTCCTTTGGGGCTCGAGACAGGACGTACATGATGATGTTCAGACTCTGGCAGAACGCTCTCCTTGACAAGGTATTGAGGCCAGCACCTCAGCATTGGGGTGGAATGAAAGGCAGGTGGGAAATTTATGCAGAAGCACAGTTCCTGGGACTAATGTGTGTGCATAAAAGATGTAATGGCAGCAAGCACATGTGTTTAGATGGAGCGGGGACATTGCTGTGGGTGCAAATATCTCTTTTTGCATGGGTGTCTCTCTGACTCTGTTGAGGTGTGGAAGTCTTAGAGCGGAGGTTTTTCAGCTCTGTAATACAAATTACAGCTCAGAAGAAAGCAGTTCAAACTGTAACACAGACAACTCAATGCACAGACAGTGTTCTTAGTATGTCTGTGCTTCAGAAGTGTAAAGGGCATCTCCAGTTAGAATGAGAATGGTGTGGGGTACGTTGAGTAAAGGCTCAGTAGGTTGGATTTTAAAATAAAGTGGAGAAATGCACCTGCTGTGCTAGAGTCCCTGTATATACTATATTTGGTCTGAGTATCTGTTCCACTGTCCATTGAGTATTTCTGGCTTTGCTGTACAAGTAAGACTTATGAGCTGATCTTACAGGGTTGCCAGCATATGGAGATATTTGGGCTTAAGTTCATACTATACTGGAAGGCTGAAGTTATCGTGCACCAGAATGCCCTGTCCTGAGGTTGGGGTAATATCTAGTGTGCAAAGGGATCACTTTGCAATAGGCAGCTTATGTTGCTACCGTATGCTGTAATTTAATCAGCCTTTGGAAGTTCATAACAAAATTTAGTGCCCTTGGTTTCAAAGTCACAGCGAATGGGAACTGAGATATGGAATGATCAAGGCAGGAAATGCATAGAGAGTGCTTTATCCCTATGAGGATCTGTGCCTAGCAGGAGAGGGAGTGACAGAGCTCCAGAATGTGGTTTTCTTGATAGGAGATGTGAATTATAGGGAGTGCATGTGAAAAGAAGGTAAAACAGAATTAGATATTCATTCTGGATAAAAATTTCTCATTTGAGTCTTTTGTCTTATTTTTGATGGCCACTTTTAGGAACTAGTTTAAAAATTTCCTGCCTTACCATATACAGTAACTGTGGGAAGAAGTTCAAGCCAGCGATTCTGAAAAAGTCCCCTAGGGTTATTTTCCATCATTACCAAGAAATCTTTGTCGTTGGTCAGACATTTCTCACATATGAAAATCTGTTTTCTTTCATCCATGTCCCACATACTGAAATCACGAGTTCTGCCCCATTTCTTGAGCTGCAGAATGTGGTCATATGGCAATCAGCTGACCTGCATCCCTGAAAAGTTGGGCTTTTGTGAATGGTCTTGTTCACTCATTTTCTGTTTTTAACTTGAGATAACATATAGGCTTTTCCCAGTAGTAACTTCTCTTGATTTTTAAATTGCAGCAAAAAATGTTTCTCCTCGTTTCTCTTTTAGATAGTTTTCCTGGTTTCTTTAGTTTTCAGGTGGCTTTCATTTAAGTAGACTTGCAGGGAAAGAAATCTAAAGCACTGGGGTTTGCTATGGTAGGAAACATTAAATGGAGCAGAAGAGGTAGGGAAAATGCATGTGGAGGAAAGCACAGTTTTACTGCTTGCATGGTTACATGCACAGCATTGTAGTAGCAGAAAAACACATTACTTGTGCTGTTCTGTGTGTAACCTCATGTTGGGGAAAAAGGGCATCCCAATCCTCGTTGCTGTTCACTTCCATTACCTACAACAGGAGTCAAACATGAAAATTGTTTAGACAGTGCTAAATTAGCACTTGGCAGTGTGAGTCCCAGTGTAAGTGTGGTGTATTCATTATGGTTTAGTTGTTTTGGTTGAAAGTGTACCCTAATCTCTGTTCCCTCTTTTAGCCTCTCTGCCCAAAGGAGCTCTGGCATTTTGTCCACCAGTGTTATGGGAATGAGCTGGGTCTGACCAGTGATGATGAAGATTATGTGCCTCCAGATGATGACTTCAACACAATGGGGTGAGTGAGGGGGAATGGTATCTGTGATGAAGAAAAGATGGCTTCAGGAGAGCAAGAGTCCTTCAGTACTTCATATGTTGACCCTGTTTGTCTCTGCTGAGAGATTTTGGGTTCTGGGCAAATATTTCTGTGGCAGCAGGTGTGTAATGGCTAAAAAGCTGAAAGTGTAGCAGTTCCTCCTAGAAACTGGTAGGAGCTGAAATAGTTGCTTCTCTATTTGCCGAGTGAGATGAGTAATCCTGTAAATGTGCCAAAGTGTCCCATTCACTGGGCTAGTCAGCATGTTGCATGGTCAGAAAGTGCTGATGCTTGCCAGTCTGTGTATAAACACTTGAATAGTTTGGGCTTGATCTCCCCTGCTCTGAGTCATTTCTGCTTCCAATCAGACTAGAAACTGCACAGAAATATTCTTACTTGCTCTGTGTGTCCAGTTGTAGCTGTACTGAGAGGTGTAAACATAAAAACCTGTGTTCTCTGTGGCGTCTCAGCTACTGTGAAGAAATCCCTGTGGAGGAGAATGAAGTCAATGACAGCTCCTCAAAAAGCAGCATGGAGGCCAAGCCAGAAGCTAGCCCTCAGCTGCCAAAGAAATCAGTAACTGCCAGCACACTGACATCCACAGGGAGCAGTGAAGCACCAGCTTCGGTAAGTGGTCTTCCACCATTGCAGTGGCATCACTAATCCTTTTTTCTGGGATTTCACTGGCAACCACAGTCCTTGTAACATCATTTTGGAGCTCGTGGAATTTGCCTGAGGAAATGTAAGCGAGCTATGCCTGACCTAAAAGCTACACATCAGACTTCCAGCAGCAAGGCTGTTTCTCCGCTTACAGTTTTAGGTTAAAAGAAATGGAGAATTGGAGATAAAGGAATTATAATTCTTCCTCTTCCTGCAGTGTGGTGGAAGTGATGGGCACCTTTGTTGGCACTGTGGCAGAGTGCACCTTGTTTAACTCTAACCTGAACTACACCTAGCTGTTGTCTGGAGCACAAAAACTATTGTTTGTGCACTTGTCTGAACAAATGAAAAGCCCTGTGTATATCCCAGGCTTGAATTATGTGTGTTTTTTTTTTTTTTTTTGAGAGGATGTGATCTAATGCACCCGTGTGCTTTACAAGTACCACGTGGTAACTTTCACCTCTCCATTATTTAATTTCCAGACACGTAGAGGCCAAGTGTTCAAAGGTGTGATAATATATGAATATGAACAATATGCAGATATGAATAGTTTTCAGAAATAAGCCCCACTTTCTAGTTGCTGGTCGTGCCCTCACTGTGCTCTGTCCTCACTGCAGTTTGATGGGGTGCTACCAGAAGAGGAGGAGGCAGTAGCAGAGAGTCCTGTGGAAAAAGACCTTGGCATTGCAAATATCATGGGAGAGAAGATAGAGATCATTGCCCCTGTGAACTCCCCTTCCCTGGACTTCAATGACAATGAAGACATTCCCACTGAGCTCAGCGACTCATCTGAGACCCATGATGAAGGTATGCAGGGCAGGCCATAAGTGTTCTGCTTTTTCTCTGTCTCTTCCAGGGATGCACTGGGACAGCAAATACTGAATTCGTTTTCTGGACTTTAAAGTCCAGATGCAAAGAATTCTTGGTCTGGACTGCAGGAAACGAGTATGGGGGTGGAGGGTGGGTATTTGGAAGAATATCCCTAAAAATTGCCATATAGGTAATTACCCCTCCTGGTATTCCTACTGTTGTCCTGGGATCAGTGGAGAAAAAGGAATAAAAACAATTCCATTCTGTGAAACACTGTCTTGTAAAAGCACAGCCTGTGATGCTGGCACAGAAGATCAAGGTGGGGCTGGCGGGCCTGTTTTCCCCCAGGTGAAGTCCAGGCGTTTTATGAGGACTTGAACGGCCGTCAGTATGTGAATGAAGTGTTCAACTTCAGCGTGGACAAACTGTATGACTTGCTTTTCACGGACTCCCAGTTCCAGAGGGACTTCATGGAACAGCGCCGGTTCTCTGGTAAGCTGCTGCTGGTGAAGCCCAGCTGCTGATGGGGGCTGTGTTCCCTGTGAGTTGCAGACGTCTGCACAGAAGCGAGGTCTTAGTGTGTAGCTGTAGAGCACATCCCTTGGAAGCACAGTGTGGCTGATGATAGAGGCACTGGGTAATGCTGTGAGGTCTTTGGGACTGCTGTAATCTGTATTGATGGCAGTCAAAAGCAAGTAGAACCTGCCTTGTTTGGCACTGTGGGTTTATTGTCTAAGAGCCATGTGTAAGTTTATGGTCAGATCACATTCTTTATCTGTGTTTTTTTTTTTTGCTGTCAGTTAAGGCCTGATCCTATGTTCAAGGCCTAATAATCAACAAAATAGCTAGCTCCACAGCAGACACTGGCACAGACTGATGATGCAAAGAGTGCATTCCTTGGCATACTGCTGTCTTCCTTTCCCTGTAACTCTAGTTGCAAAAGGAGCGACTATTCCAGCCTACCCCTTCTCCCTGCACTGCAGGAGGGGAAAGTATTCCTCACACTTGTGGTTCTTGTGGGTGTCTAAATATGAAGCTGTGCTGCAGTGAGGCTTTTTCTGGAGCTGCTCTGCTTAGCTCTCTGACTTGCAGGACTCTGCAAGCTCAGGGCAGAGAAAGCAGCTTGAAAGCAGCTCCAAGCAGAAATATTCCCATCTAATCTTGGGAGAGGATGCACCTTGTCCCTGCAGTGATCACATTTAGTACAGGAGACCTTTCCTATGTACTTACTTGAGCTATAGTGCTTCTGCAGCTGAGTTTTGCAGGGGGAAGGAAATACTCTCCTGAGCTTGGTTATTTGGTTATGCCTTTTCCTGACTTGGCATCCCTTTCAATTACTTTGATGGAATATTGTTTTCTCCTCTCAGATATTATCTTTCACCCCTGGAAGAAGGAAGAAAATGGCAATCAAACCAGAGTGATCTTGTATACTATTACCCTTACCAACCCTCTGGCTCCCAAAACTGCCACTGTCACTGAGACGCAGGTATGTGAAAGTGCAGCGTTGGTGTAATGCTTTGTACAAGCAGATCTGTGATTTTCTCTCTTGCCTCAGGCATGCTGCTTTGCACGTTTGCATCCTCCCTATCCATTTTTTGTTTACACGTTTTTCTTGTATTAACTTGCTACCCAGTATCACTGCAAATGTGAAGAGCTGATCTTAAGCTCACATTGTTTGTGCTGCAAGGAAAGGACCGTTATATTTCCAGCAAAAGCAGATCTGTTGGTCACCAAGCAGCAGGTTCTAACATCTGTCTGTTGCCTGTTGTGGTGGTTTTTGAGCTGTCAGCACAGGACAGTCACATACTGTCAGCTCATCTGTCTCACAGCTCTCCACAGAGCTGTCAGGCTTGTTAGTGGTGAGGACTGTTAGATGATTGTTGTAAAAGGTAAAACTTAAAATAAAAAATGGGAGCATCTGCAGTGCGTTAGAAGAGCTGGGCTACCTCTATCCAGTAGGTGCTGTAGGTACAGAGATTAAAAGCCTCCACCCATGTCCAGAGACATGTTCAAGTGGTCAAGGATAACATCTGTAAGTTAGCTTGAGAGAATATTAACAGAGAATCAAGAAAAGATGGGGGTGGCTCAGCAGTATGTTTCAGGGAAGGAGAATCCCAACTTGCAAAGGTGGGAAGAAGTGTGCTGTGCAGAATCAAGACTGTGTGCAGGGAAGGTAAGACAAAGGAGAGGACAAGGTGATGGGCAAAGGGCACACTTCCAGGCAAGGAAGGATGTGGGCTATTTTATTCTGAATGTGGTGCCAACCACAGAGGTGCACTTTACTGTGTCCTCCCGGTAGAGGTAAGTGGGAAGAGTCTATAAGAAAAGCCACAGTTTTATTATGGGTCTTCAATTACTGTATCTGTTCCCCTTTGAGGTCTTTCTGGAGACAAATAAGCAGATCAGAAACAGTTGAACAAACTGACTGATGTGTTCTTACAGTGCTCAGATTTGAAGGACCTCTGCTCAAAGCAGGGTCAGCTCTCCTTTTAGATCAGGTTGCTACCTGAAAAGCTAGATATTAGTTCAGTGAGAAGAGATAACACCTGCAGAGGTCCCTCAGAATTGATCCTCGTGTGGCAGAGAACTGTGTATCTGATGCAAATTGCTGGATGGGGCTTGGGCATTGGCATGGTCTTCTATTTCTCACGGAGCTGTATTTGTAGAGTGCTAGTGAAGGTGCCTATCTATCAAAGCCATGTTCTAACCAGACTAATAGTTGCCTTGCATGCTGTCTTTTATGCAGACAATGTACAAAGCCAGCCAAGAAAGCGAGTGCTATGTCATAGATGCAGAGGTGCTAACTCACGACGTCCCCTACCATGATTATTTCTACACCATTAACCGCTACACATTGACTCGTGTTGCCAGAAACAAAAGCCGACTCAGGTACACTTCTGGTGGGATGAACAGCTTTACTGTCAACCAAAAGTCACCTTTGGGTGGGAGTGCTTCTCTTGGTGCGTTAGGAGGGATGGGGAGAACTGAGCCTTGTGTCCTTGTTGCCAGAAAACTCCTGTTGCTGATAATTAGCATGGAGCAGCTGCCTGTTGTGGCAGCACTGAGGAAACAGTACAGCTGTTGCAGGGGACTTATGGTTGGGCCAGGGAGAAGATCTGCAGATTTCATTCTTTGAAGCAGTTGTTTGCAGGAGCAGTTGCCATACACAGCAAACAGAATGCACTAAGCAGTAGGACGAACTTGCAGGCTGTGCCTCTGTGAAGCACCTTGCAGGACAAGCAGAGGAATTTGGTATTAGGAAAAGCTCTAGGGCTTGTGTTTCACTCTGCTAAGTAGTTTATATGTCTGCCTGCACGTGGCCAAGGGGTTGGGAATCCTCTCAGGGGAAGCTCTCTTGAAGCCTTCCTGCTTCTGCCTTTGGAAGGATTTTTCATGTGGTGCTTCTGATGTGGAACCACAAAGGAAAGAAACCATTCCAGAGATGAGCGTGGGCATGATTGATTTTCATGTACACACTGACAAAGGACTGGGAGTTGATGTAACCTCCGGAAGGAAAATGGAGAGTGACTTCTCCTTCTTGCAGGGTTTCCACAGAGTTACGTTACAGGAAGCAGCCTTGGGGGCTGGTAAAATCCTTCATTGAGAAGAATTTCTGGAGCGGCCTGGAAGATTATTTCCGTCATTTAGGTAAGGGTGCCAGGGACCAGAGCTGCTGCAACAACAGCAGCACTCTCAGTAGTTTATGCATGCCTCCTGTAAGCAGGCAGTGTAATGGTGTGGGAGCTGCCACTGGCCTGCTGGGGATTAGACTTCAGATAGGCCAGCCTCTCTGGGGTCAGCCAAGTTACTGCCCAGCAGCTGGCAGCACCTGCTGATCATCAGCTCCTCTCTAACACAAGTGTGGGGTAAGGGTTTGGCTGAAGGTGTGAGGGATCTGTAGTGTGTACTGTGGCACAGTCATCTCATACCCTGGCAGTCAATACTTGTACTCCGTTCAGCTGCTGTGCCAGTAGGGAGCTCAGTTTGTATCACTGCAATGCTAGTTCCGCTTTATTAAATGCTTTCTCTCCCTCGTTGTCACTGCAGAAAGCGAACTGACCAAAACGGAGAGCACGTACCTGGCTGAGGTCCACAGACAATCCCCAAAAGAGAAAGTGAGCAAGCAATCAACAGTCCGCCGGAGGAAACGGGCCCATGCCCATCTGCGGGTGCCGCACTTGGAGGAGGTGCTGAGTCCTGTCACCACCCCCACGGATGAGGAGGTTGCTCACCGAATCAAACACGTGGCAGGTAAGGAACCACAGACCCCTCACACTTGGGGATGGAGAGCTGGACAAGCCCTGGAGACAAGCTGGAAGTTTGCTCATGGAGAGTTAAGAGAGAGAAAGGCTTGGGCTTTCCAGAGCGGTGGATCCATGAGTGTTGTTTTGAATCAGTAGAGGATCATGTAGTAGAAAAACACTGCCTTCTCCATGGGACAGCACTTCATAGCTTACACACACCTGTCTCCTCAGGTTCCACACAGACACGGCACATCCCTGAGGAGAGCCCCAGTGGCTTCCACCTGCAGAGCGTTTCCAAGCTGCTCCTTGTCATCAGTTTTGTGTAAGTGATTTTTTTTAAATTTTAACTCTGCCTTCACAGTCAGCCTTTAACTTACTTTCTCCTCTCGTGTTTCTTGTGTTCTCTGCTCCTGTCAGTGTTCTCACTAGATCAGCAGCAAGAACCATATTCAGTCTGTGTCTTTTTTATGCCACCACCTTTCTGGTCTTGGGCTTGCTGGATGTGTGCTTTGAGAGAGCCAGATATGGATCTCTTGTATTCCTGTGACTCAGTGTTTATGTGGAAAAGGCAGGAGTGGTTATTGCTTCTCTGCCTCCTGGGCTGCCTGTAGCTTTCATGTGCTAGTGCTGCAGCTGTAGCTGGACGGGCTGAGCAGCAGTACAAACTAAAGCAGCCCAGGTGTTTTTAGTGCTAAGGAAGCTAAAAACATGTGAAGGAACAGCAAAACTTGTGGTCACTCTTTTCATAAGCTCCACTCGTCCTGTAGTGAGGAGGCTGAGGTTGGCAGACTGGGGTTAGTTTGTTTTTCTGCGTTTTTTTTCCCTAGGGGGAGGAAGGCTGCAGAAGTTTACAGCTGCAGCTCAGAGCTGTTGGAGAAACATGGGCCTTGTGACAGTTTAGGGCAGGCACCAGTGCTGTCTTCTGTGGTTAGGCAGGTGAATAGAAAGGCACAGAAACTTTACAGCACTCTCTTGCAAGCTGCTAGCTTAGCTTAGAGCCCTCCATGTGCTAACCCTATGTGCTGAAAGCAGTGATTTGCACAGCCTGTGGTGGCATTCCCACTTCAGCACAAGGAAGAAGGGGGGAGTGCTGGCTGCAGCGTGCCTGTACCTGGCAGTGCCCTGCATGAACGCTCCTTATAGGTGCCCATGAGAGCCACACAGCTCATCTTTTTTTCGTGGTTGAATTTCACCAGTAATTGCAAGCCCACAGTTTCTTCTTTCCCTCTTGAGTCTCTTCCTACTGTTCCTTCCTGCCCTCCTCCCCACCATTTATCTTCTGGACTGCCTCTGAGCCTTCTCTGCTCAGCCCAGTTTCTCCTGTTCTGTGTCAGTCTGTTTCTAACCTGCAGCTACTCCGTCTTTTCTCTTCCCTGCTCCCATTAGGATCTGTTTCAGGTACTGTCTCTCTCTTTTTTTTTTTTTTTAAACCACCTTATTCTCCTGTCTCCTTCCCTTTCTCTGCATTCAGTACATCCACTCATTCAGCCTGTCTGATGCATCTGTCATTGCTATCTGTCCTCCTTACACATCTCTCTCATGCGATGAAGTTTTGGGTTTACTTTCTTGGCCCTTACTCAGAGTAAATCCTCACTGACACACAGCGTGGACCTGAGTCCCAGGAACCTTGAGAAAGCCCTGGGTGTTTTCCCAGGTCTGAGAGGCAGGCAGTGGAGTAGCAGTGCTCACAGTAAATGACTCTTTTCTTTATTTGCAGCCTGGTGTTGCTGGTCATTCTCAATATGATGCTGTTCTACAAACTGTGGATGTTGGAGTATACCACCCAGACACTCACAGCATGGCAGGGCTTGCGGTTACAGGAAAGGTACTGTCACACCTGCTTTGTTTTTACATCTCCTTGCATGTTTCCTGCTGATGTTAGAGACACCAAAGCTCAGGGCTGCCTGGTAGATTGTTTCTCTTTTGTATGTAATGGATGAAACATACGTAATAGGTGAAGCAGGTAATTAGCTGAAGCTACTTGGTGGGGAAAAGCCCCTCTTTCTCTCTCCCCTTTTTACTCTCCCTTTCTCCCTCTCCTTTCCTGCATAGTTAAGTATAACATTTAACTTACATGCTGTTTAATACTACAGCTAGCTCTGTGCCCCTACACACATAACTTTGTTGTGTTTTAACTGTAGTTGCTGTGACCTAGAACAAACCCACCTGCTGGGTGAGAAATAGTCTACATCCACCCTGAGGCTCCCCTGCCCATTCCTTTGTGTCTGTGTGACTTTTAGTGGGCAGGGACAGTGAGTGATCCCACATATAAGTATCCTTTTCCTTTAGACAAAGAAAGCAACGGTTGTTAGAAGTAGACTGCTATTTATTAGAGATTGAGTGCATCCATTTTTATATTGCTTGAAATGTCATTGTTTTATATCCACGTTTGAAGCTGGTTGAGCAGGACAGTTGCAAGCACTCAAGCTCCTGGGAAGCTTGAGATCCTGGAAAGAGAACCAGGGCAGGTTTCTACTCACAGCCACGTGACTGCAGCACACCAGGCAAGTAGGTGCAGCATGACTGGCTCAAGGTGAGGATAAATCTCCATAAAACAAGGAGTGTACCTGAAGCAGTTAACACGGCAGTTAGCAGTAGCACCCCACTGCTCATTTGCTAAGGTAAGAGAAGAACCACTTAAACTGTTAAATTACAGTGCTGGGATAAAGAACAGACATATCTGAGAGGATATTTTGGGAGCAGTTGTAGCCATAGGAAGGCTGTCTCCTCAGTTTCCAGGGTAGGACACATGAAAATCTCCACTACATCCTGTAAAGCATAAGAGGTATAAGACAGGCAATAGCTAAGAGAGGGGAGGGATCCAGCTATTTTAAGTAGCAGATTCTAAGAGGTAAGTTGAAGACAAAGCAATGATTTAGTTGTCTTGGAGACGAGCAAAGCCCAAGAGAATAAAGAAGAGACACCCAGCAAAAGACAAAAGCTTAGCTACAAGCTTAACTACCTTAGAAACCAGTGAGGCCCGAGATAAAGCAATAGAGTTAGATGAGGGCATACAAAAACAAATTACCTCTCCAGGGAAAAGTGTGACAAAAAGGGCCCTGATATGCCCACAAGCCTTCCTGCAACTGTCTTGACTCTGCTCCTCCTCACATCTCTTATGCTCCATGGAGATTTATCCTCACCTTGGCCCAGGCAAGCTCCACCTGCTATCCATGCACACTGCTTGCACCTGCTTGAGCCCCTGAGTTGCAGCTCAGGGCAGCCAGTCATGGGGATCTTCTCATCAGTGGCTTGAGTGCTTGCATCTGGAGGATTGATTAGGCCTGAAGGGAGGAGATGGTAATTAAATGATAAAGAATATCTGGTATTAAGATAAAGACTGACACAGCAGGAAAAAAAAAATACCCCCCAAAATATGGAAACTGTACAGGATTACCTGTCCAGCAATGTTACATTGCATTCCCCATCAGTGGTTGTGGTGCTGCGTCCTGCTGTACTCATCTCCCAGGCAGTGACAACACACTGCTCCCCTGGCACGCAGGCATTTGGCTCCAACACACTACAGCTCTCCTGCAAAAGACATCTTTGCTCCTAATTACCACAGTTAAGGTAACAGTGATAGGCAATTGAGAAAAAGGCTAAGAGAATTTGCTTCTTTCAGGTGCAATGATTTAACAGAGACTGATGCTATCTCCCACCCCCTCACCTGCTGGTCCACTTTGCTCATCCTTGACTAAATAGTTTCCCCAGCTTCACTCCTGCTCTTATTCTGCTTGGCAGGTTACCCCAGTCACAGACAGAATGGGCCCAGTTACTAGAATCTCAGCAGAAGTATCATGATTCAGAGCTACAAAAATGGCGTGAGATCATCAAATCCTCTGTGATGCTTCTAGACCAGGTGAGACCACACATCCCAGCAGCACTGTGAGTAGACAGTCACCATGTCCTCCCAGCCCATCACCTGCAATCCCTCAGCTTTACCTGGACCACTGCAGCCCATCAGGTGCATCTCTTCTGCTCCCATCTCCCTTTAAGTCAGTCTTCTGACACTGGGTTGGGCAGGAGGTCCCAAGGGCTATTCACATGGGTTCTCTATCATCTCACAGACACCCAGACAAGTCAAGGAGAAAATCCTGCAGGGCCAAAACCTTGTATTAGACAACACAGCTTGTATCTAGTCTCTGGTATCTGAGAGGGTGCTGTAAAGACCTTGGCACTGTTTGCAATGCAGAATTTTTCTCCTTGATTCTGCAGTCATAGAGTAGCTTACAGAGACAAAGGCACAGGCTCTTCACAGCACAGATGCAGCAGTTTAGAACCCGTTCCCTCAAGAACAGCTAAGACACCAGGCACCTTGGCATGGTGTTCATAAATGAAAGAAGCTGCTGTTCCTTAAGGTGAGTGCCTGTTACCCTGTGCATCACTCTGCTCGACCCTTATTTGTTAGAAGATGATTCCCCCATTAGTTGCCCAGCCCTGCTGCACAAGTCTCAAAAAGCAGATGTTTATGGTATCAATACTTACGTGGATGGAGGAGGCACCGATGAGGAAGGAAATCCCAAAGCTCTGTCACCTTCAGGGTAGCAGCACATTGGAGACGTTTCTTGTCTTGCAGATGAAGGATTCACTAATAAATCTCCAGAATGGCATCGGGTCCCGGGACTTCGGGTCAGATCCAGAGGAGAAACGGAAACGTTTCCACTAACAGGCAGGAATGCAGGAGGCCAGAGGACGGTGTGCAATATGTGTAAATAGGATATATAAATATATATATATATAAATATATATACAGAATATAAATATATATATTATATACAGATTTTAAGAGAAAAAAAAAAAAAAGCCTACGTACCGAGAGGAAGGACTGACCTCCAACACTGGCTGAAATGGAGAGTCTCAATGGTAGTGTGGGGTGTGTGTGTGCGTGTGTGTGTGTGTATGGGAGGGCTGTGCTCTCCTGGCACTGAGGTGCACTTAGGGATGCACCCAAGTGTGCTACCCTGGGCTTGTTTGCACCACTGTTCTGTAATATTCCTGGCTGTTTGTCTGTCTGTTTTGTTTCTGTCATTTCAAAGGGAAGCATCAGAGTGAATGCCCCTCCCCTCCCTGTGCATGAAGGTCCCTGACTGACGATATGTATCTACACATATAAAGGGAACACTGTCAACTTTCTTACCTTGCTGGCTTCAGGGCAGAGAGGTTTTGGCAATCACCATCGATCCCTTACAAAACGATTCCCCATTTGGAGAGGAGGCCTCCAGAGGAATTGCTGTAGGTCTGTGGAGAGCAGGTCTCCTTGGCAATCATCTTCTATGTCTCTTGGAGCAGAAATGCAATTTGCTGCCATGCTGGCCAGCTTGGTTCAGAGAGCAAAGCACAGAATGTAAACGAGCTTGAAATGCTTTCTCCAAACACTTAGTTTGCCTCCTCCTGTAATTGATAGTGCATTAATAGCCAAGGAGATGGCAGGGAGCAGGAGTATCTGCCCCCACAGTGCTCGGAGGAAGGAGAGCCACACTGCAGAAAGCACACTTCCATTTCTTTTGACAGTGTCCCCTTTACTTTTGCTGTGGTTCTCTGCTTTCTGTGTGCTTGGGCCCCTGCCATTAAGCCATCCCTGTGCTGAAGATCTACATCGGTGCTGATAAGGGCTGCCTGTGGGACTTCTCACAACAGGGAGGGTGCCCCAACTTCAAAAGAAAACCAAAATAAGTATTTATATGTGAGCACTCCTTCCTGCCAAGCTGTGTGCTATTAGCACAACGTGGGGTGGGAGAGCTAAGGAAGCAGCAGAACTGTTCTTGTTGTCCTGCTTGGTAGATTTACCTCTCATCCCTGGTCTGCGAGATCGTTTTGCTTGTACCTCTTAGCCCTCATCTTTACTTCTGAGCTCTATAGGAAACAAATTCTTTTCCTTCAGCGGTGACAGCAAAAGGGTATCTTTGCTTTTGATACTTACGTGCCTGCATCTACAGCTGCAGGGCCTCTGTCAGCCTGGGAGAGATAAGGAAGGGTCCTAGGGAATAAAAAAAGACAGAAAAAGTACTGCCAAGGAGTGTGGGATAGACCTGGGTGTTATCCACAGTGTAAGGTAGTGGCTGGGATCTCTCCTGAGCTAGATAGCACTGCATTGGCTCTCTAAGCAAGACAGGTGGCAAACCTGCATTAAAAAAACAGTATGCATTTTTACTTCTGGGACATTTCTCCAGATTCCTGTTAGCAGCCACACGACAGGAGAGGGACTGTGCACTGGGTGGGATGGGGGGTGCAGGAGTAAGCAATTAATAAATGCCTTCTCATCTTACCCAGCCCAGTAGGTTAGGTGATGTGCTCAAGTCTCCACCTTTGCCCAGAACCTTTGTTCAGAACCAGGCCATGTCCACCTCCTAGATGGCAGGAAGGAGGCAGCTGTGTGCTCCCCACAAGAAATGGTGCAGGTCTCATGTGTCCCTCGGTCTCCAGCTCTAACTGGCACTGAAAGACCAGGGGACATAGAGGTGAGTGTTTTTTGCATCTTTGTATAGCAGGAACAAATCACACAGCTGGGGAAAACCCTCACAAGCTTCAGCATATGCAGCCCAACCGTGGCAAGGTACCACTGTTAGAAGTAACCTGCTGATTTCTCCCAGCCTGCCTAATAATTTACTGACCAAACACTAGGCACAGTATGACCTAGAGAAGAAGACTCACAAACAGGTTATTGAATGCACTTAAAAGACTGTGAAAGTAAGGTACAAGTGGCAATGCGTTGAGAACTAGGGAGTAACTTGCATTTATGACTGTTTCATTTCATGCTGCTGACTATTGTGATGCTCCCTGACCTTTTCCAGGGATGCTGCTGCTGAAATGGCTGCTATACAATGAATCTGAGCTGCTAGAGCCTGAGAAGGGCATTCTGCTGTTCTTACCTTGGGACCAGGGGGCCCCAGTTCCCTGCTGCTGACTTGCCACACTGGCTGAGATGCCCCTTCACCACTCCCACAGTTGCTAAGCACAGAAAAATGCTTTGTAGCCCATCTTCCCCTCTTTAAATCCATAGAGCAGGAAAGAATAAGGAGAGAGGAAGGCCTATATTTGCTGCCTAGCCAGAAAAGAGAAAGCAAGAGAAACCTGGAATGTGGGTCTTGGCAGCATGGCCAGCAAACTTCTGTACCTATACAAACAACCCAGCAGAGGACAGAAAACCCACGTATCTGAAAGGGTCCAAAATAAATGCCAGTAGCTAGAGCTGGCTGCTTACCAATCTGACATTCTCTTGCTAGTTATGGAGGCAAGAAATCCCTTTGCTCATATGTGCATCCTCCTTTCTCTGCAGCATCTCTGCAGACTGCGGTGATTCTGGCTGTTCCCACTGGTACAGCTTCCTTGGGTTTGGTCTTGGAGACAAATTAATGTGAGGTTACACACAGGCAGCTGTAAAAGTATTAAGCACTACGGTTCATTTTACCTGCATATTAAACTGGTTTTAACATGTTTGACATAAATAATCTGTCCAGCAAGTGGAGCTGGGTTTGGATTTGCTGAATTTTGGCAGCTACAAAAGAGACTGTCAAAGAAACATGGCTCCAGGCAAACGTGCACATTTGTGCCAACAGAGGAGCCTGATTTGTGCCAAGTAAGATGCTACCTATCAGCAGGAGGGAGATAAAGCTCTGACTTGCCAGTTTGTCTATGTCACCTGCTTCTGTAGAAGAATAATACATTACTAATCCTAGCTTGATAGCATTTTAATAAATACATACCTTTTAACGATTAACTAAAAGGAAATGTTTGGATTATGGCTCCTGGGATGAGCTCAAGGTGAATTTGAGCACTTTTCCCATCAGACAGACCCCGTTTGTTTCAGAAGCTCACCTGGATGTAGATGGGGACAGACTTCAGCCTGCTTATGTCCTCAGGACAAAACTATGTAGCCTACACACATATGCTTTTTCCTACCTTTATAGGAGCCAGTAGAAAGTTCATTTTCCAATTAGCAACTGGGAACACTTATTGCCAGTACTTAAGATGAGACCTTTTGGCTATGCTCTGCAATGATTTCTGTGACAGGCAGGCCTGCAATACACCAAAGCTGAGTAAAAGAAACATCTGCAAGCCTCGTATTTTGGCTGCACATAAGTAGTGCTATAAGAAGTGCTTTCAGAAGGGAGTGCATACATACAGGCTGTGCTGAGTGCAGCCCTTCCTTGTCACATGGCCTTTATCCCTCTTCCTTTCCTGCTAGCTTTGCCTTCTCAGATCTGTATTTCAGAAGCACCTGCAGAGAAGAGGCAGAGAGAGCAGCCTGCAGCTTGTACCTCACCCAGCACCAGGAAAGAGCTCCAGGCTGAGATGGTTCTTCCATACTAAGAGTGGGAAAACTTTAGAGACTCTTCTTCCTCTTGGGTTCATTTACAGAGAGTTCACTTACATCAAGTTAGAATGCGAGTTCACACACATACAAACCCCTCTGTGAATGCTGGTCCCCAGGTCTACTGCAGTGATCTGGGAAGAGGCTCTGACCCCAATAGGGATTCCTTCATACCTTGTGGCTAATTAACATGCTGAGTCCTACTCTGCTACCACTGTGAAGAGGCCATGCTCTTGAGAGTTCTTCTCTACAAGAACATCCCTAGTGCATTTCCATGCTTGCTCCCAAGTGAGGTATGTACCAAACTAACCATTTCCAGCATACAACCAGATAGCTTTATCTCCAAGTTTCCTTTTCCCAACCAGAATAACAGGCTGACGACTTCCTAATTTAAAAGCTAGGAATTTCTGGTTGCACAGAATGCTGAAAGTGGCACAGAGCTGAAGCTGCAGTGCTTGGCTGCTCGCAGCACTGCTGGCTGGGGGCAGGAGGGGCAATTCTGTCATGTTTCTCAGGGCAGCTGGCAGAACTGTGTTGGCAGAACTTTGAGGTACGTGCTCAACTCCAGAGACATTGTTCCAGCAGGGTCTGCTGCCATTGAGAGGTTTTGTGATGGGTTCGTGTAGATTCTGGCTCGGTCTTTTCAGTCTCAGCACTAGTTTAAATATCCAGCAGGGGCTTGCTTAAAAACAATACTCAAAACAGAGACTCTTAAACCAAAGCACCCGAGGTAAGTAGCTCGCAAAAACATTTGTGTCAGTGTAGTTGCTGAGGTGTAACTGTGCTGCCTTTTTGGCCCGTTCCCTCTGCCTGGCATGCTCTGATCTCTGTGCTTTGCACCCTCCTCCCTGCACGAGTCTCTTTGTGCCATAATACCTTTCTTTTTTAGATGTGCACACTGGCCAAATAATATCCTCATGTCTTTATTGACTGCCGACTGAGATTATTCCCTGACCCAGCCAGACAGCACGGGCTTCAACCCTCTGCATGGATCCTGGTGTGCCATGCTTCCCTCTCCCACATGTTTTGCAGCACTTGCTATGGCTTTTCCCTCTCCCCACACACCTCTGCTGCCAGACAATCATTCCCTTTGTCATGGATGGACTGACCTGGTGCTGTCCCTGCTTGCCTTCCCTTGATGCAGTCTGTACGCCCTTTAAGTGAATGTGTTTTGTTTGTTTTCTTATTTTTTTTTCAGTAGGGAAAAGACTTCCTTCTGCGGAAGGAGTTATATTTGCACATGGCTCAGGGAGGTAACCTCCTCTGGCCGTTTCTGTTACCTCACTCATGTAGGCCAATTCCATTGCTAACGTTCAATGGCCACCCTTCCCCAACCCAAACCTCCAAGAATCGTTAGGGAATAAAACAAATGTGCAGCTCAGGTTCTACAGCTGCTTGGTCGTATCTCAGTCTCAGCCCAAACTGCCCCAGCAGCATT